AACCGTTCCCAGACGATTTTTTCGGGGGAGCCGTTACAAATTCGGATGGCACCCAGGCTACTATTTTCACACACCAGTCAAATATTTCATATATATAATCCTAGCCTATCCATGGATACAACATGATTATTCTACTTTCTAATGTCTGGAAAATTTATATTTCTTTGTCTATTAATCTAGACTGAGGAGGAATCAATTTTAACCTCCTTGTCATGGACATGGTTTCATAATATGAAAAAAAAAATATAATTTGAACAACATGTTCATACTAAATCTATAATAGTACAAATATCTACTTTATAATAACACTATTCGATGGGAAGACAACTCCTGTATAGATTTTTCTGCCTCTGTTGTGCACGCAAATTTACTTTTAATAATAATAAAGATCAATAATTAACCATAGTAATTATATCACGCTGACTCAGTGAGGAGTACATTGTATGATCATTCATTATCTACAATATTGATTAATACTATTCCCCTACAAATTGTTGCAAAAGCACAAATTTTATGTTGAAAATTCTTCAACACCATTCCCCATTCACATTTACCTAATTGCAAAGCTATATCAAAATTAATATACAAGGTTATTTATATACAGTAATACCATATGTAATACCATATCAAGGCACTTGCTTAATATGCATGGAAGACTTTTAGGATTTTGCTGTGCATATTTAATACACTAGTAGGAATACAAATATAGTCTATGGTTTTAGTTGGTGCTGGCACTTTGAATTCTATTCCTACATAGAATAATCAAGGAATTTAAGTTAAGGCACTGTCAAACTAAGACAGCCTTTTCCAAAATAAGACTGAATTTTGCCAGACATATGCATAATTATAAAAAAATTCCCTCAGTCTGTAATCATACGACTGTATAACTCTACGATAAATACCACAGGGCTTTTACATACAACCCAACTAAAAGTTAGTATATGACAAACCAAATAAAAAACATCATAAAGTATACAAAACCAAAAGTAATGAAACACAAGGTTTAAGCTAAATACATATGAACTGAAACAAGAAGCCATAGGCGACAATTCTCCGTGAAGTATTATATATTGCAACAAAAAGAAGTAGCCATTGGTGACAATTCTCTGTGAAGTGTGATAAATCGAACAAAGAAAAATTGTTTAAACGCGCGTCGGCTCAGTCATCTTAAGACGCAACAACCAATCAGAGATGCGAGATGCCTACACGTGACGCGGGAAGGGCGCGCGATGCCCGAAATATTTTTGCGTCAATATTCAGCGCCGTGATTCAAGAGATTAATACCCGGAAACAATTTTTTTCTTGTTTTGAACGCATTAACATGCATTTACGCTAATCTAGTATGATTCAGGGTTACTTTTTTTTTAACCTGCCATGGCCAGATTATCTAAAGATGTGTGTATTGTGTGTACAATCTATAGAAAGAGAAATGTACATCAGGTCCGATCATCCGATTTTCACGTTTCGGTTTTTTGGACTCGGTTAATGAACGTATTTTGGTTTGGCTCCTGGAATGTGCAAAAAATGACTCCCGGGACTGTCTACAGGGAACACTCGCACATTCGCGGTGTATCAGGACAGCGCGACTGGTCGTCATTAGCGCAGTAACAGTTGCATAAACGGACGAAACCATTTCAAAGAAATGGGGATGTTTCGAGAATAAGCATTTACTCCAATATCAAAACAGCTACGGTAAAAATAAAAAGACGTGCATCATCCCGGACATAATGCAACACCACATGCGAAATTACACAGAAATGCGACGTACGGAAGAATGCGTTTTGGCTGCGAACATCTTCCAAAAAACTTGGCATCTCTTAACCATGGGCAAAAACATCTGGAACCACTTATAAAAACCACCCCGTATCTGCATGAACTTTTTTGAACCCCACTGCTATTCCAAACAACGCGTTTTTCTGGACCATTCCAATTCGCCTCGTAATTGTAGGGGTGCGTCTGCGATATTACATTGACCGCGAAAGCAGCAACGGCAAAAATACACATTCGTGCATCAACACGGGCATGCCCGCAGACGGCGTATAAAATTGCGTGCCGATTACACAAAGAGAACCCAGTGTTTTGACTGCGAACATGAAAAATCAGCCGATTACAACACTCCGTCCGGAGGTCCTGACCTCCTTCACGGAGTAATAATTACCATATAAACTTTGCTGTATGCCCCTCTGTGTTTATCTTCCTATTTCATTGTGGACAATACTGTTCGGGTCAAGCATGCCTGTTACTCGAAAACATGGCCTTTTCCCATTTTGGGATAAATGCTGAAATCCTTTCTGCCACATCCCACTCATAAATCATAACAATTCATACCATTTTAAAATATGGTTGTCAACATAGAAATTACCTTAAAGCATAGTCTCTTCAACAATGACACAACAATAAAAGTCTAAATGGACAAAAAAAAGCTAACTATACAGCAAGGCACTTCTCCTGTATATAGGAGTGGAAGACATGTGATTTTGCTGTTTCTTAGAGTTTCATTCATTCATTCATTTCATTCATTCACTCACTCATTCATTCATTCATTCATTCACTGACTCAATCCTTGATTCATTCATACATCTATCTATCCCCTCCTAAATCAACCATTCCCACTATTACATACAATCATGACATGTACATAGCTGGAGAAATCGGAAGACCTCCCTAACACATTCATGGGGGAAGCAAAAATTCATGTGCTTAATACAAATTGAAAACCTACAGAAGTAAAATACAATCCTATTTCACTAGGTTATTACAAATTGTGGCATTTTTGGTGGATTCATCAAAAGACGTATATCAAATTACGTTTTATGGCACTGCGTATCAGTCATTAGAATCACTTTTCAACAATGTTGGTCTTCAAATCTGACATGAGTCAAGTGTTATAGTACACTAGGGGGACATGGCTAGCACTATCTGCCCTGAGAATGGTTTACTACTTGTACAGCGAATTATAAGAAAAAGGAGAAGACTTTTGTTCCATACCGATACAGAAATTTTTAGAACAGAATTCTTGTATCTCACATTCTCAGTATTGATATTGGCATCATACTGCAATTGACATCACTTATGGCGACTGATATGCTGTGACCACATGTTTTTATCTGTGAAGGTGCGTTCACAGTACACACAGACATAGTCACCGTCAGTATTTTTCACTATTGGTTCTTCATTCTTAACACCGGTGCTCCCTTCTCCAGTATCCTTTACCGACGTCACTTCCTCCCCAATCCGATTCAAATCATCCCAACAGTTCCTCTCCGCAGCTCCCCCCTCCACAGCAGTATCTGTACCATCCCCATCATTCCAATGTTCTCTCATCCAGGTGATGTTGAAGAATGGATGCTCCCTTTCTTTCTTCACTGGAGATGCTACAGGCTGAATCTTCTCAGTGCAGGGAATGGCTGGCAGCCACAAGTCAGGGTGCTGGTCCATGCTTTTTTCCTCAGTTGTGGTTGCGATGTTCTCGGGAGGGATGGGAGTGTTTTGGTCCTCAGTGTCTGTATCTAAAGAGAACAGGGTACGGTTAGACCTACTGTTTAGCAAGAGTGACTTATATAAATTGTACATGTACATCACTACACACAGCAGATATCAGTTTGTAGCTAATAGGAAGAATAATTTCTTACCTATTGAAGAACTGGTACTACATGTTGAATCTACATCTGTTGAGTTCAGTCTTTTCAGCTTCTGTAAGGCCAGTATGGTTTCTTGGCTGTGCAATTTGGTAAACTTGCGAGAACGTGCCTTGCTGCCATTGACATGGATACGCTGCAAAAAAAGAAGAGAAAAAAAAATTACAAGGAATCCTAAGAATATCAACACTGTAAGGAATACTGTTTTAGCAACAACTACATGTACATGGAAGGATATTACAGTGAGACTACCAGCATTAATGAAAATGTAATATGTTTTATGTCTGTTAAAAAATTCAGTGAGACCATTTTTTTTGTTTAGAAATAGAATGTACCTTCACTTTTACATCTTATTTGCTCAAAGCAGGTGTACTTGCATGCAAGCTTACAAAAAGGACAAGGGAAAAGACTATTTTTCAACCGATTTTGTAAAACTTACTTGGATATGGCGAGGCAGGTGGCTCTGGTACGCAGTGCGGTAGGAGCAGTGTGGACACTGGAAGGGTCGAACGTCGGAGTGACTGCCTCTCTCATGGACCTCAACTGTCTGTTTCTCTGTCGAGGTGTAGTCACAATGTCTGTGGACAAAATTGAAGTTCAAGCATCTGTACAGTGCAGGTATGCCACCTAGCAATCTTTAACCAAACTGCATGCACTTTCTCTCATTCTCTCCCTTTCTAACTCATTGATATCATAGCAACTGTCTGCCTCTCTCTAGATGTACTAACAAAATTTAACAAATTCTTCATATCTTTGTATAGTAAATGTACACAAACTGACAATTTCTGACCAATACTTATTACGTGGCGTTGTTAGTGCTAGTGTAACATTGGGGGAATCAGTAACACTAAATATATAAGACTAGTCTTGTTTCAAGCTTACCAGGCACATGTAAATCCTATCTACAGTAACATGGTGCATTCAAACAGTTTCAACCATAATGCATGTACAGCTCAAATAGGCCATCGATCAGTTGTTAGACAATTAGCAAAGCAGAGAAACTTCAAACATACCTGCACTTGTAGAGTCTATCCCCGGTGTGTCTGCGCACGTGCTTGACCAGGTCACTACTGTTGGAGCTAGCGTAGTTACAGTGGGGACACATGTAGGGTTTGACACCAGTGTGGGATCGCAAGTGCACAGACAGGTCCGTCTTGTAGCACGTGGAGAAGTCACACTGGGGACACTTGTAGGGTTTCTCCTTCTTGTGTTTGGCAGCGATGTGTAGTTTCAGAGAGCTCCGCGTCACACTTGCATATGAACAGAAGTTGCACCTATGCAAAATGGGAGAGGACAATCAGTTCATACACTCTTTAGTTTAACTTACTACGACAACACACCATATTATCAAACTTAAAAGAAGTTAAAAGAAGCAAGATTAAACTTTCCCATGACCCTAAGAATGAGACTTGAATCGGTTACATGTACAATTTTTCATTTCCCATTACCCATGAGAAGAGAATTGGCTTGTTCAGTCATCAAAAAGATGCACCATGACAAAAAAAAAACATCATCTCATGAACACAGAGGACCAATCTATGTATATTGTTACTTATGGAAAATTCTCCATCCTGGCAGATGCCTTACTTGAACGGCCTGTGTCCGGTGTGGTGTGCGCTGATGTGGCGCTTCATGCTGTCTAGTCGGGTGAAGTCCCGTCCGCAGTGCTCACAGCTCCAGGGTTTCTCTCCAGTGTGCAGCCTCATGTGATTGGACAGGGCTGACTGGGTTTTACTGTCGGCAGACACAGCAAACATTCTCTCAGCTTTACCTCATACAAAATACATCAAGCAACTGGACAAATTCTCTGACATGATGTTGCTATCTCTCCTCAGTAACTGAGAATGAGCCTGAAGACAAGTGCAACCTGTATGTAAGTGAGGATTTGAATTGATATGCAAATGTTATAAATCAATTCCTGTTATACCTGTTATACAGGTCTAACACTAGTAACAGGATACCTGGATGTCTAACCTTCATTGATGTATTTTCTCAGCTTATCTTTTATCCCAATCTGTTTATACGTTTTGTGGCAGGCACCATCAACACATATACATGTAGTACATCTGGATCCAACAAGAAACACTCAACCATGAATTTCTGTAAGGTTAGTCTCATACATGTCCAAAGCCAATGGACATTCAATCTGTCAAAGCCTAATGATCAAACAAGCTTTAGTGTTTGATATCTAAATAAAAACTGTTGATGTTGTGATATGACAGTGTCAAAATGAAGATATATAGTTTGCAACGAAACTTGTCAACATATTGATATTGACTGGACGGGAATTTTGCACAACTAATTATACTTTTGTATAAGAATAGGACTCACCCAGCATAGACACACTGAGGGCACTTGAAGGGTCGTTCGTTGGTGTGGCTCCGCATGTGGATTCTCAGGGGGCTCATGTACACAAACCTCTGCTCGCAGATCCCGCACGTGTAGCGCTGCTCGGGATAGCATGCGCCGCCATGTTCCTCAACAACGTGTTTGTGAAGCTGGTCAGAGTCGTTCGAGCTGACCGGGCAGAGACTGCAGGCGTAGAGCTTACGGACTTTCTTCTCGGGCTCTGATGGTTCGTAGAGCGGGATGTCTTCGCTCTTCAGTTCATAGATCTTCTGCGGCTGAGCTGATTTGGTGGACAGCTGAAGGCACAGCTCGGTGCTGTCGTCTTGGAGGATAGACATGACTGTCTTGTGGTCTGCAGCTGCTCTTCACTGAAGTCGGAGAGATGTTGGCTTTCTCCTAGGAGTAAGAAGAAAAGTTAGACAATTCACTTGAACGGACTAGTAACTCACTAGAATGAACGAACTAGACAACTAGGATTCAACGTTGTCTTAGCTTTGTCTTATCTCTGGTTTCCTATGGACTGTCTAAAATTAGTCTTCACTTCCAACAAGTCATAGTTTGGGGATAAGTACCTGTTTAACTAACAGATTCTGTTAGTAACTGAGAAAAAGTAGTGGATGCTGCTTGAAAAGTCTGATCTACTGGAATCCAGTTGCCTGAGCAAGTTTTCTTCAGTAAACACTTATGTAGCATAATAAAATGAAACAAAAAATGAGAAAGTTACTGATTTGTAAGTGTCACTGATTTGTAAATCAAGTTATGATAGTTCCTGTAATACATATACCATGGTAGCCATTCCTATATTGTTCTCTTACCATGTTGTTCGCTTGCAAATTATAGGGATTGAATTTTTTTTCAAAACAACAAACACTGATACAGACTTCTGCAAAGCCCTTACGTACACATACAGACATTCATGTAAACGTTTAGATTTGCACAACAGCAAAGAACACCCATACGGCTGCATGTATGGATGGTCCCCAGATATGTGTGCACCCATCTAACTAGTAAACTACATGTGTGAACAGCTTGTTAAACTGTACTACACATCCGTACATCTGCATGCATGGACTGTCCCCAGCTAAATACACATCCATACGCCAGCATGTGTGAATTGTCCCCAGCTAGGTACTCTAACTAAATTTATATTTCTGAGCCCTACAAAGGAAGAGGGGCCTGGGTGGGCTGCGACACACAAATAACTCCACTACACTAGCCTTGAACAATAAATATCTTGGTACATTGCATATAAAACGCAGATATCCTGTATCTCCGATTAAAGAAAGAGCATTCGGCCTCGTGGTCGGGTCGTTTCAGTGATATTTTCTCGTAAAAAGAGCATCCGTGTCGGTATGACCTTGTGTACCAGATGTGGCGGAATGCTGCCCAGAAAACTTTTGAAATCTCTGCCCTAGTCAAAGATCACTACATCCACGAAACTCTAACCTGTCCTTGCTACCTTAGATGTGTAGAATATCTGGATTACCTGCCCGGTAGCTGCTGATGTTGACCTGTTGCAGACATGCTTCAACACAAAACTTCGTTGGGGAGAGTATCCATTCCGCCCCCCGCCGCTTCCAGAATGCCCCCTCCACCGCATCTACACGTAACATGAAAGGGTATTTTGTAAGCCAATTATAAATTAGCTAACCGTCTACACACTGGCTGTATTACTTAGTATTTGAAATGAAAGAGAAGTCACTCTATTTGAGAGTGGCTGTGATATTTTTTTGCGATGGATATGATTGAAAACTTGTCAAATTTCCGATGCGTTGTTTGCCTGCGGTCTTAGCTGTTTTGGGACACCGTGAAGCAGCGACATCTAGCGACAAGTTAAACAATGCATCTCCATATGTGGATATGTAGTGTTTTTCATTCGTCCCGCCAATGTACAAACAAATAATTAAGGATACACAATGTCGCCGGTACCATGTATTGAACAAATGCAACATGGGCAGATCCTAGGAAAAGAAAACTAACATATGCACCTTTACTGATCCCCGCAGTGACTTATCTATTGGTGAAAAAGCCTAGAGCTAATCCCTTAGGTACTAGGTATGCATTGAAACGATTTGAAATGGTGGCACAGGAGACTCAAACCAGTTTTTCCAGACTAGACTGTCATATTAGTTTAGTACATATATCATAGCGGCCCGCCATGCCAGCTAGCGTTATCTTATCATAAAAGCGAGCGGGAAAACTCCATGACCTTTTATTAATATGGCGGTAGCCAGGATTTTGAATGGGGGGTTCTTCCTACTGCTGGAGGGGACCTGGAGCGCCGAGTTTCCTAGGGGGGTCCGGGAGCATGCTCCCCCGGAAAATTTTGAAAATTGAACCTTCTAAAATGACATTTCATGCATTTTTGAAAGAATTTCCAAGAAAAAATCAGAGATAAATTTTATTCAATGACAAAGGGAGCAGTTTCTCTACAATTCCAGTCTATCTTTTCAAGAAAAATCTTGGACCTTTACATAAAATGTGGACCAAAAAGTGGGCCTTTACATAAAATGTGGACCAAAAAGTGGACCTTTACATAAAAAGTGGACCAAAAAGTGGACCTTTGAGCCTTGTGTGGGGGTTCTTCCGAACCCCCCGAACCCCCCTGGCTACGGGCCACTGGCCAAACTTTCCTCTACCAGGTTTAAATGCGGCACTAAACTTAGAAATTGACCAAATAGACTGATGAAATACCAGTGGAGTTAGTCCACCAAAGAGTAAGATTACAGTTCAGAGATAGTAACACAGGCTATTATCAATTCCTACAAATAATTGGCAAGCATTTACTACTAATATATTAGTACTCTGTCTATACTGTGAAGTTGAGTTGAATTTTTTTCGGAGTGCTTATCGTAGCAGTAGACAGTATATTTGATGTAACATAATACTACTATTTTGTCCTTGTTGATATACAATAACACAGCAGTCCGCATCTTTTTTTCGCACATTCGCCGGTAAAAGCTGAAACTTTGAGGACTTAGCTAGACTTAACGTTAAGGGGATGAAAAGCATCTAGAGAACTTTATAAGGAAGAAACTTATAAGCTTTCACACATCTTTCAAGAAGTTAGTTAAAAATCAATAGGTATCATTCAGAGGCGCAAACCGATATCATGAAACATTTACTCGCGTGGTACACACAAACACGTGAGCTAGTTAAGGTGCGCTTAAGGGCAGTACCAGCTCTGAACGGCAGACGTCGCTTTTACACGGTGTTGCTTCTTGACAAAAGTAATCCCAAAGTGCAGAGAGCATGGATCTCCCCTCCACTTCCATCGTGACGATCTGAAGTTCTTAAATAACCAAATAGTACGTTTCAAAACACACCCCTCCGTTGAATGCCTCGGAATGGATAAAAAAGGATAATCATTTCTTCTGCAAAATCTGCAGCGTGTCCGGATCACATCGCCGGAAGCAGGTTCATATCCCTACGCGATATAATCCATTTTGTTTGGAGGGAGAAGCCTGAGCGAAAAAGCCAGACGGTGAAAATTTCCCCAACATTTTGTCCAGGATTCTCAGCCCGAAGGTAAGCTTTCCCCCCAGATCGAAGCGGCGGGACTTTTCGATCGTTGTCGTGTGGTTGTTTTGCGAACTTGTTGGCGAGTTGGATCTCGCCTCTTTGCTCGCGGCGCCAGTGTTTTTGAAAGGAAAAGAAGAAAAGGTGGGGAGGGGGGTGGCTAGTAGTGAGAGTGAAGGAGTACGGTACGGTGTTGGCAACGTTTTTGAGCTCGCGTTTTGTGGTTCCGATGTGCGGTGACTGATCGGTGTGATATGCAGCTGGGAAAGGGCACGTCGGAAACGATTTTGCCAGCCGTGTTTCAGCGCTGTATTCCATTAAATTTATGGTCGTGCCTGTTCTCTCTTTGTGTGATTCAGAAATTGCTGGGGCCGACCAAATTATCAAGGTGTCATTTTTGTGGCAGCAACAAACAACAGTGTTCAGTTGACAGTGGAAAGGGGAGGGGGTGTGAAAAACAAGAAAGACTAAGCTAAAAAGGGGAGTTTTACGCTGAAAATTAGTTTGTAGCATTTATCAACAAATGAAATGTAAACACGTATTTTAGTGATACATTGTATTTAATTTTTACATCACCAAAAATTATAGAGTGAGTGGTTCTCATCCACCACAACATGTTACACTGAAGGATGTTACCACAGCCATGCATGTAGTCACTGCATTGTTTCAAAATCAAAGACAAGTTTTCTGGGGTAATCTGTAGTCTAGGTGTCTCGCACAACATGGGGATCTGCATACTAGTACAATGTATCTTGTTATTAAGTTGTTTTTACACAATCAGTCACTTCGATTTTATGTAAGTCATTAATGCCTATAGGCTGCTTTGATTCAGTGTAAAACATAATTGGTAAATGTAATATTACCCGTTATTAAATTATTTTGACATACTCTTGTTATATTTGTGAATTTTCTGTAATCATTCATTACGAGTGCCAATAATTTTGGGTACTAAAGGAGTAATTATTGATAATGTACAAATTATCTACTATGCAAACCCCCCAACATAACACTGTGACTGATAGTTGAGAACCAAGAGCTCGTATAGCTTGTATAACTTTTTTCAAAATGGCTCTCCCATCGCACAGAAATACTAGGAAGATTGAGAAAAGTCAGTTTTGAAATGTCTGTGGCTCACATAGTACAATAGAGATGCACAGATGTAACATTACTTGCGCAAAACAGAAAAACCTGGAAAACCACCAGCAATGCCAGCGCAGCGTAAATCAGGACTGAATTTTATACCCCTATCTATTGACTTCTGGTGATGTATGATTATCAGATAATGATAGATGATCAAACCATTTCAATGCATCCAGGATCTATTGTATGTCTGCTATCTCTAACCTACACCTTGGAGCACTGTCAAAAGGTTTTTGGTGAGCCGGAAAACGGTATCGGGCTGGTTGGAAATTAAAGAGGACGGTTTTGTGATTGAAAATATGCCTTGTGAGGAAGAGTACTATAACTTAGTATAAGATCAAGAGTGATACCAGAGCGTTTTACAGAAATGCAGAGAAAGGTTTTAAACTTTAGGCATCCACTGCAGCCTGTGCTGTGAAAGACATGTGTAAATGTATAGCCTCTATGATGCTTTGGGAAGCGGCTAGAAAGACTTGAAATCAGTCAGAAAGACTGTACTGAGACTGAGTTGGGGTGAGAGAACATTTTGGCGCTCCCAAAGCAGAGGCTTTCTATAATCTATGTATCACTATCCTTCCCAGATTCAACAAATAGTCAGTATGACATAAATTTCATATAGAATTTTGCTTAACGTTTTGCTACCCTTTTTAGATGACAATCTGGGGATGTGCATGACTTGAAAAATGTTTACTCTTCTTCAAGTTCTTGTGCTTGCTGATGAACAGTTGATAACCTTATAGCCTGTATACACTCTACTAATTCAGAAGTGTACGTTTTTAAACCATGAAGGTTGTTTGTGTAACTGACAGGGTTGAACACACCTGCAAGGTTGTTGATGTCTGTACATGATGGAGTTAATTGGCTTCTATAAATGATTAGTTCATGTTCAAGTTCCCTTGATAGTCTTTAGCCCCAGGCAGAGGAAGTTTTCACATTTCTCTAGCGACTAGCAGGATCTCAATAGACTGAAGTTTGAATGTAGGATACTATTAAATATGTATGTACAGATGTACGTGTACTTTCTTCTAGTTTTCCATAATGTCCTTACACTGATTATCATGTACTGTAGCTGTGTTACAATAACAGGGTGCAAATATTGGGTGCATATGCTCTTTTGTGCATGCAAAATTGGAGCTGTACGCCCAATATTTGTTTGTGCACATAGATATTTGTGTAAGGTTACACTAGTATACAGTATATTCTTGACATCTTAGTGTCAGATAAGGTCTTTGTTATATTTACTTGTTTAAAATTAGCTATGGGCAAATTTTTTCAATGGGCTTAAATGTTTAGGTGCACTGGTGAATTTTGATCCCTGGTGTTTGCATTGTTCGTTCTTCTTGTTTTCCATGTCTCTTATCATATTCTGTAACTGTAACATGATGCTAATACAAGTATGCTATCATCACTAGTGCTCTCAGTCCGTCTTTGTCAGGTCACACTGATTAGAATTGTTACCTAGTTGTCATTAAAAAAATGCTTAAACTATTGTGTGTTGATAATGATGATGATATGTTAAAGGTTACACTATGTAGGATTTTACCTCCGTGTACAGAGGTATTGTTTTCTCTGTGTTTGTGTTCATGTGAATTTTCTGTACGCTTGTGTATCTGTAGGTATTCTAAGGTATTCCAGAAGTTGTACCGAAGAGTAGGTTGATCTTGAAAATGATGCTAGGGTAGGAATGTCCTTCTGAACAGCTGTTGATTGTTAAAGTCACATTTCTAGGATTGCTATATGCTGTTGGGAGGGGAAAATTTTCAGAAATGTATGATGTTGATTAAGAAGGATAACTAATCATTGATTGAGAATTCTAAAATTTTCTAACCTTTGCAGAAGCTAATTTAAAAGGACATGGACTTCTCTCAGCAATGAAGGACAAACAGTTCTAGAAAATCAACCTTCTTAGCTACGCCCCTTTGGGGGAAGAGGAAGACTGATGATGATGATAAGTCTGTAGGTACTGAAATAACATTCATTAACAAGAAATCAGAGATCTCAAACCTCCCGGAAGTATCTAGAGTTTTCATTAATTTATAAGAATACCTACGGATACACAAGCAGACGCACATGAACACAAATACAGAGAAAACAATACCTCTGTCTCTTCAGAAACAATACCTCTGTACACGGAGGTAAAATCCTACATAGTGTAACCTTTAACATACATCATCGATTATAGAGTATTAGGATATCCTGTTTAGTGATAGTTTGTCCAATGTCTAAAGCAGACTGAAGCTAAGAAGGCTGCACTCCAGGCTAGTTTTAAACTAAACGTCTTCTCTCTTTTCAGGAACAAGTCAGGCTACTACTGTGAGTAGTATATACCGAGTGTTGTGAAACACAGTTGTGAGGAGGAGGAGGAGGGTGACACGTGATTGTGTCCCCCAGGCTGAGATTCCAGAAGGAGGATATAGTATGCGGAGTGAGCCCCCACAACACCCCGGCATGGATCGGGACCCTGGGTATGGCCAGTATGTATTCCACTTCCTTGTTCCTTTTTATAGGTGACAGCAACAATTTGTTAGTCTCAATAGAATGCTCTTGAATGGGGGTGCACTGCTGGTCTCAGATGTTGAAAACAGTAACATTGAGAAATTGGCAAAAAATGCTGAGGAGCTTGCTATGTAGAGAGCAGTTACCTTTGCCGAGAAGGTTATGTTATTTGTTCATGGGTGGGGACTTTTGAATAGTTCAGAAAACAAGCACAAAGCAGTACGAAAATTTGCATGAAGCATATAGGTAGTAAAACCATTGTATACATGTAGTTGTACAAGTTTATGCATTTTGTGGTGAAAAGTGTAAATTGTAAGGTCACATGGATCATCATACCCGGTAATGTATTGTTTATGAAAAGATATGGAATGTATCTTTTAGTTATGTGTTTACTACATGTGGAGAGCGCGAAATACACCAGGTACAATATGCTTACACATGTCTTAACTAATCTTACAAGAAGCTTTTTCCATGCTTTCCTATTGACGTATTTGTACTCCAACAAAAAACCAGTTAACAGAGCAGACCTGATATTTTGATGGAACCAAGGAAAATGACACCACAGTTATTAATTTTCATATCTCAATAAAGATTGTTTATAGTGTCCTCGTATGATATGACTCTGTATACAGTGTCCTTAGAAGATTTGTTTACAGTATCGTGATATTATTTGTGTACAGTGTCTTTATATGATATGACTGTGTTGACAGTGTCCTCATATAATATGACTTTGTTTATAGTGACCTCATATGATATATTTACAGTGTCCTCGTATAACTTGGTTCATAACTGATATAAGATGTTATCAGTGATTGTCATGGTCATACGCTTCATTTTCTCAATTTTGTCAACTCAGTACTCAGCTAATGAACATCTACATGTTGTGTACTGTTGAACTGTTGATTGAAATATTGTGTTCGTATGGACTTAAAATCATAAGAAATTCATTAAATTCCTTGACTGTATATATACATGTAATTGTTAAGATAATAATGTTATCGGTTGGGTACTATAAACATAAAAACAACTGAACATCCGTTAAGTTTTCCTTGAATAACTCCATCCAAACAGAGGTGACATGGGGAGGCCAACCTTGACTCACTGCATTCACTCCCTGGTACTATGTGAGCCTACAGACTGTAATACTTTATTTTCATCTTAACATTCCGGTTTAAATATTTTTTTTAAAAATCAGAAAACCAATTAAACTAAATCTGCAGGAGAAACAAGGTACAGTATAACTAATACATGTAGTAGAGAGATGACCAATAATCATAAGAAATTCATTAAAATCCAGAGTGACTAAGTTGGCCAATATACAAGTAAGTATTAAAATAATATTATTGGATATGAACTATAAATATATAAACAACTGAACATCCGGAACATGTTTTCCATGAGTTGGTTAACCCCATCAAAATGTGACATCGGGAAGCCAAACCATTTCGAAAAGAGGGGAGGCAGGAAAACTTGACTCATTGCATTCACTCCCTGGTACTGTGTGAGCCTACAGGCTGTGCATGTCTTGTCATACCTTATTTTCATCTTAACATTCCAGTGCAACATATAAAATAAAAATCAGAAAACGAATTGAACTAAATCTGTGCAGCAGGAACTAGGGAGATGAACAAGAAGAGTGCTGGAAGTGGACAAATATTTGTGGAGAAAGGACAAGAGTACTTCTTTCTTCTAGCAATGTGCATTCTACATTGAGCAAGACAGTGGACTTGCAACAAGACATATGAAGTTGAATGGGGATGAGAATACAATTGATACCGGTGCATAACTCATTTTAAGAACTCAATGAAATCATTCCCAGCCAGAGAAGGATTGGTGTGTCACAGACACCTACATGTACTTTGGGGCAAAACGTTCACCGACTCCAGCAAATGAAGTATGGTATTGTCAGCATAGCTGTGATCTTTTGTGCCACATCATTCAACAGAATCATGGCTGGGTTCTGTCTCATCCGTCCCCGGGGACCGCTCCTGCCAGAACCGCTCATTTGTGGCCGCCGGGCGCAATTACCCAGTGTGCACCTGATCCCACATCCGCACAACAATGGGCAGGGGCAGGTTACGCACGGCTAATTAGGCCTCCTCGTTAGTCTCCATTTACCTGACAGTCCTGCACAGATTGTGCTCTCCCTGTTCACAGGACCAGTTTGGATACAAAGCACAACACCCCGGCCCCTTATTAGGTTGCCTTGATTGGTCTGTGTGGCCTATCTTGGAATAAACAGTCCTTACTAATTAGTGCAGCTGCAGGGTTGAAGGTTTATTCTGAAGCTGTGTTTGAGTCTTTGAGATAGTGGGTGTCACAGAAACTGGCAGTCTGTTTATAGAGCAGTATATCAGGGTATATACATCTAGATGTCATAATATCTAGTTAGCACTAATAAGGAGTTATTGTCAGGTTTATGTTTCAAGTAATTGACACCACACTGTCTTTATAACTTAGTTCTTAGACCAGGAATATCACCCCTGCCAAGAATGTCTGCTAGTGTATAGGAATATATAGCCAGTGTTATACTTTACTCGTAGGGCGTGTAGTTAATAAGAATTATGTTGAGCCTTCTTGAATTTAGTTTAATTTGAATGTACATTCTGAATCTGAAGGAATCAACTGATGGTAAAAGTTTTCAATAGGCAAAACCCATGTTTTCAACCAGTTCCTGTAGTAGGTTTAGAGATGGGTATAAATGGGCATAAGATATCAACTTGTTTTAAATTGCAATATAGTGCTTGGATTTAACAAACCCTATGTGTTTGAAAAGAATCTGTTTGAGCACGGTAAGTAAATGGACAAGACTAATTATATTTTGCATTGGGAAAGCTAGGAGGAAAGTTTTTCCAATCTTTTCTGCACATAAAATGCCATGCCAGCTGAGGTTCAAGGCCAGACTCTTTGAAGTTGATTGCCCGTGAATATGACCAATTTTATCACCCTGCCCTTTACTGGTAATGCCAGCCATGTCCTTTTCTTGGAAATATCGATTCCATCTCGGGATTTATTATACCAGTAGATCAGCTGCACATTTGCTGGTCATGTGTTCCAGATGACTTGAGTCAAAATCATTCTAGCTGCCACAAACATTATGGCGTAACACAACTGGGGAGCAGAGGCCTTTCATGGAGCAACAGCTCCTCCTTGCAGATGTTCACATCACTGCAGAGTGAAATGTCAAGTGCTGGTGTTACGTGTAAAAAAGATACATCTGTTAGCTTTTAAGCAATTCTGTACCAATGTTGACATTCGCAAGGGCTCTCTGCGTTGAGCTACCTTATTCACCAAAGTGAATACAAAATATGATACATGCAATTAGATTTTATAGTTCCTCCATATTCTTTACATTTATACTTCTGCTACTGCAAAATTTGATAGATGTCAAATTATGTAATAGACAAGCTGTATCATGACTGTTCCCATGTAGTTTTGTTGTCAACAAAATTTTGCTGCTTCATGTATTCTCACATTATGTAGGCATAACATATAGGTGTACTGTTATCATATTTTGACCTCCGTCATTGTGATGACATCTGAGCCGATATTAAAAGAGGAAAGAGTCTGGCCAATCAGATCAGCTGTTGTATCCAATGAATCATTAATCTTGTGTTCCCATCTCTGGTTGGCCATTTCATTTGTGTTGTCTGACCTTCACATATAGCAAAGACAAGATAATTTAGGGATTTGATGTCAAAGGATTATGATAAATGATCTGAGGCCATGACCTATCAACAAATTGAAACATGTATGGAAAATAAAAATGCATTCAGTACGTGCAAGTTCTTTGAGATGAACCAAATACATCTTTGCTAGATTTTGCCTCACAATCACTGATACATGTACATTTAATTGAAAAAGAACAATATGAGACTATATATACATGTTAAACAAGAATATCAGTTTGTCGTAAATTTTGGAGCTGCCTTGTTTTTGTGCACTACATGTATATCCTCTGAAGCCACCGTAAACAGTAAAGTTTCCAATGATGTTAATACAAAATGTATCATGAATTTTAATTTAATATTTTCTGTTGAAAGTGGAAGAACCAGGTAATGAAATTGCGGAGGCTTCCAGCATGATTTCACGATATGCAGTTGGCACCTGACCGAGACCATGTTATTCATGCAGCCTCCTCCTGAGGGAATTCATCCTCAGAAATCATGCTCATGAAAGTTAAGCAGCACCAGGCCGTTCCAATGGACTGCTTTGGTTCTAAGTATTGTTAATGAAAATTACAGGGCTTCAAGTACCCAACTGCGATTTTACGGGTTGAAATTGATTTTGAAGAACAGTTGTACTGGTACAAAACATGAAATAACATACAAATCGTACTGCCACTCTTCTGAGCTTCAATCAGAAATTGTATCACTAACTTCAAAGTTATAATCATTCATGTTACTTACTAGTGAATAATATGGTCCCTTCAGTTATTTAAAACTACACAAATATCATTATCAAGATGCACCAGTGTACACACAGTCAAGAATTACTGTAGGTGCAGAGCTCTAAATTTTGGGTGCACAAAAGTGCGTACTATGCACCAGGTTCTCCCTACTGCCTAAACCTGTAACCAATAGAGAATTGGTAGCCAAATGGCTGCTTAGGTTTAGAGGATGCTGATGTTCCAATGCATGTTCCAATACTGGGAAGGACACAGACAGAATAAGATTAACCCAATCCCTACAGAGATATAGCCTCTCGGTGCAAAATCTATAGCCATTAAGAGGCTAGACAGCAGACAGAAAGTTAGGATAAGCAATTGAGTAATATTTTCAATTTATTTTCAATAGCTTCATTACTATGACATAGAAAATGTGTTAAGTAAGAGGTTCATATACTAGTAATACAGTTCTGTAATGTAATTGATGGACCTATTAATTACTACATAGGAATGCACAATGACGAAATATACCACCCATAAAAATCCATCTTCTCAGATCCCTCAGTACATGAACAATTGCAAATTTTTAAGCTTGAAGAAATGTTTATAATGTAGAAAAAGCTCATTTTCAGTGGAATCAAAGATGGCTGTATTATAAAATTTCATTTTTAAGATTTGTCACCAAAATGTAATTAATTTTTTAACGAGATAATAGAACAGCAAATTATTTGCCAATGATGTCCTCTTAAAGTGCCTTGATGGTAAAGTTGGAACAAGAAATGATGCTGGTGACTACATGTATAGCCGTGTGAGGTTTGTTCTGACCACCTGCAACAAGTGAATCCTGAATAGATATGTATGTGTTACCCTTTTCTAACACCATAATATTAGCCGATCTATGTCATAATAATGTCAGCCGCCAAATAAGGTCATCCACACAGTGGCAAATTCAATTCCTTGGCAGATGTTCTATCGACCCTGGGTGGACGGGGGAGGAAATATGGCCTACCTTGCGCGGAATCTTGTTCCGTGGAGCGGCGGCGAACGCTCCGTCCTGCGTGGTCATCTCAGCCATTTTCAATCCCGCATTATGAAAGCACCCAGGGGAAGGCGTTGCATGCAAGCTGCGAGCTCGCAGGATCTGATTGATTTCCTACAAAGTCATTATGCTAAGGGGACAGTCGAGCCAGGCCAGCCTGCGCCAGAAATTTGGGTCGCCCTGAGCGAAAATTCTGACGAGGGCCCGATTAAAACTTGGTGCTAATGCCATTAACATTCGTGTCGTAATGACGCAGTCGAAGTATCTGTTGTTTCCTTTATTGTAAAGAAGGAAAGATGTTCGCTGACTTTATAATCAGTCCGGAGGAATTTCAGTCCTACTGAGGTCTTATCTAACAGGCAGTCACTGATAAAGAAAATTTGAGGATTGTCGAAAGCGAAAATTTATCAGTAGCGTAACTACCATCACATGTAGCTCGCGGACTACAAGTGTTGGAACTAGATAGTGATGTCATGGTAGGAACGCGCACCGGGCGAAATAATCAGTTGTCCGGCCGTATTATTCGCCTGTCCCTCACCCGGGAGTAATAAATGAGCGATCCCCTGGAAAGCTAGATTTGTGAAGATTCAGGGTGGTTGGTTGGAGGGCCAGCCCCTCCCCTCCGAGGCCCTGCATGGGTAATGTGATTGTATTACAGCCTACCTTCCATCCGCATGTATAAAATATCAGTGAAAGCAAGATGGCAGCTGACCCATTCTTCTCCTCTCCCTTCTCCCCCTTCTACAGACGGCACACTCCCTTCTACTCCCAGCCTGACATCAGGATATACGAGCTAAACAAGAGGCTTCAGCAGAGGACAGAGGTAAACGCTCGTCCCTTATCTCCTCATCCTTACAACAGTACAGCTGACACAATAGATTCTCGTACTAGATAGATAGGATCTACATTTGAGTACACAACTATACCAGCCTGCGTGTACAATACCAGGTATATAGTACTGCACAGTCCAATATTCTTCTATAGAACTAAAAGTATGTGCCTAAACTACTGCACACGATAACATTAAAGTGTTTATCATATGTGATATGGATTGGTTGTGTACGTAAGCTGTATATGTACACGCATGTTTACCACTGGAGGTCGTATGACTCCCCGGTGTGCGTCGTTTGACCCCGGCCCGCGTATGACCGGTGAAGTCTGCCGGGGTGTGCGTGATTCCCGTTATTTATGCGCGGGAAGGATTGACCATGGTGTACACACTGATTGTTACATGGTGGGTAAAGGCGCGAGTCCAGATGAGTTATGGGAACGGCGTGACAGGGCCGGTTGGCATGGTGACAGGTATCAGACCTGTGGGAGGGAACGTCACATTCCAGGTTACAGCTGGTCCCAAAAAATTTCAAGGATAAATTTGGAGACCCGAAAAAATTGGAAGTTTTGAGATAAAACAAATATTCAATCTTTTATAAAGGCTTTAAACAGTTTTAACTGTAAAAATTTGCCCCACATTTTGCCCTTTCGATTGGCTAATACTAGTAATAGAGATAAAACAAATATTCAATAGTTTTGAGATAAAACAAATATTCAATCTTTTATAAAGGCTTTAAACAGTTTTAACTGTAAAAATTTAGGAATATGTCCCACATTTTGCCCTTTCGATTGGCTAATACTAGTAATAGTGCAAATATGATGCTAAACATATTAATATTCGTTACAATTTTGAATTAGCACTCTCCAACAGGGTGTTTATTATTGCACTGCAAAGTGTAGTGGAGTCATTTTTTCATATTTGACTCTATGGGATGTTTGGGTTTTCATAGGATTAATTCAATAGAAAATCCTTTTATTTCTGTACATATGTAGAGGGTACTGCTACATACATTTTGATACTGATAGTGACACAGGCAAAACATGCCAAATTTGGCAATATTTCTGCACCAGAACTGGTCTACAGGGCCACCAGTAGACTGTTTGTTTGATCCTTTGTTTCTTCATGAGATTCTCAAATCGGCCTGCTGGCTACTTTTCCTTGCAGTCATTAGGGAAGAGTTGAAGATTACACAATTGAAGTCCAAATAAATCCATAGATGGATATCAGCATATATGACCTCACATGATGAAATTTTCTTTCTAAGTTTTTACCTTTTTTTTTTACAAAACCAAGGTTAATGTTAGTAGCACATGATTGGATCATCCGAGAAATGTGGATGTGCATGTAATGATAAGAACTTACACTCTGAAACACCATTACCATTTCCCCAACCTTACCTTGGCATTCTGCCATTGCCAGTTTGAAAAGTCACAGATTTCAGATAAGTATGATTTGGTTATCAGTAAAAGCAAGCACCATGCTCACAACATGACAAGTCCCTCAATTGCTTCAGCGAAGGTAGGCTGTAAGAAAGGTAATGTTCAAAAGTAAAACAAACACTGAGAAAACCATATGATGTACACTTACATTTACATATCTCCATATCATTGTAAGAAAGGTAGAATACATGTACATGTACTGTACTCCCCTTACATTTATTGAAAAAAAAATGGTTTTGGTCTGATTCTTCTAGGCCAAGTTGAACGAGGGCCAACTTGATCAAATAACGTAATGCCTGTAATACTGGCAATGATTTGTAGTGTACATGCTATACTCACCCATCAGATTGTGACACTACAGTTGGTATTGGATCTTACTGGTACTACCGGGTATATTGGATATAACCAACTGTTGCTTTCCAATTCAGCATACATTGTAATGTGAACTGTGAATCAATAAGTCCTCGTACAAATGTCAATTTTCTCTATATAAAACAGAAGGAAGAGGAAAGTGAAATTTGAAATTTTTGTAGAGAATTTGAATGTTCTTAACATGATTGAAAATTCTTCCTTTGTTCTGTGTGCAAACATGTGACGAGATATTGCACCATGGCTTTTTGGCAGCACCATTGTAATATCTTGTTTCTTGTTCCCTTTCAGGAGAATCTCAGAGAGGTGGGTGGACAATCTTACTTTTCATTAACAAATGAATAGAATTTAGAAGAGATGCAGTTTCAGTCTTGTTCTTGTCATCATCTCAAGTGGTATTTTCACCTTGTAAAAATGTGATGAATTCGAGTAGTTAAAAAATTTAGAAGATACTAATTTAGCTGTACGTCATACATGTACATATATAGACTGGCAAAAGTAGCTTCTCGAGAAAACTCAAAACCCAAATTTTTGCACTGCTTTTTAATGACAAACATATTTTTCTACTCTTGTGCCTAGCAATGTCAGTAAAATGATTTTCCTACTACACGTATATTCACATGTATGACTCAAGTAGTGTTCTGTGTGACTGCCTTTTGTTTGCAGTGTTCCCTGTCATTCTAGAGGCACTTTGTTATGCCTTACCTAACATCCGTGTCCATAATATCACCAGGGTCCATAATATCGCCACCTTGAGAAAAAGTGTGCTTAAAGATATTATTACTGCAACATACCCTAGGTATGTACATTTGATGTGTGAAGGAGTGCATACCAAAAGTATGTTCCAGTAAAAATATCTCAAAGCACACTATTTCTCAAGGTGGCGATATTATGGACCCTGGTGACATTATAGACACGGATGTTACAGTATATGTACACTGTATAGAAGCAAAAAAATGTGTACTCTCCCTTTTACACATGCACACAACATTTTGAGCCTGACATTTTCCATTCACCGAGAAAATTAGCCATTTAATTTGGCTTGCAGTATGAATATATGTCTCCTTATAGCAGACTACCTGCAGGTGAAACAGACAGTTGAATAAGTACTGCCCAAGAAAGCCATTTGGCTACGGGCCATCAAGTGTGTGAGATCGATATTTCTGCAACCTCTGTGACACACACAAGCTAACATGGAGGGGAAGGGTCATTCTTATCTTTATCTGGTGGAGCAGGAAAGGGATTAACCATTTATATCATGAGAGGGGGCTAGTCCCCTTCCAACAGTCTGTTATATATTATTAATTTCTCAGATGTACACAGGGAAATCAAAATTTAATCCTGAAAATATTTATTAGGACTTTAAAAATTACACGGTTTTCTTAGCTTCAGTCATTGATTTGAGGGATGAGTAAGATTTTAGAAATTAAGGTTTGAACATCTTTTCGGGTAGTTTTGAAGCTTTAGATGTGATATTAATGATATGATATTGGTTTGTTCACCTATAGGACAGTGACAACTTGTGGTGGGACGCTTTTGCAACAGAATTCTTTGAGGATGACGCGACGTTAACGTTGTCCTTCTGTTTGGAGGATGGACCAAAGAGATACAGTGAGTTCTGTCAAACACTAGTTTTACATGTACATGTAGGTGTCCTGCTTTCTACTGTTGACAGGCAATTCTTCTTGCTATGAGAATAACTATAAAGGGAAGCTTTCCCACATGTACACTATATTGCATGTAATTGATTTCATTAAAGATATTGACTTTTTGTTTTATTATGTCACTTTTTTTACTTCTTCCTTATTCATACATTTAGAAGAACATAATGTCAGCTGACTCTTCATTTACTGTATTATGAAATCCTGCTTTCCACTAAATGGTGATTGCTGAGAAACTGTTGAGTGACCAAAGTTGAATTTGTGTGATGCTTCATGTCATATTTGGAATATGATGGACAATCAAAACGTATGATCAAACAATTAAACACACAAAACATTAAAAAAATTGTTGAGGCATCTGTAAAATCTTTGGTCACCCAGTAGACACTTGGCAGTTGCCTCTAGTGGAAGGTGGGTGTAAAGGAATAATTTTACTTATTGATGCACATCACAAATAGAGAAACAAACGTTAAGGTGACAGAGAATGGAGTCAGGTTCTGAATAATCTAGACATTGCTTTGGGTGGAACTGCTCTTTTGACTGCACATGAAGCAAGATTATCATAAGAAGACTGCACCCCTAAGCCTCTTTGCACTTGGGTGCTTCTGCACTGCTTGACCTTCAATCTTATTTTCAAGGTCAAAGCTTGAGGTTATTTTATCTATTATGTTAGCATGGATGTTCATCTCTATATATGTTGGTAAATAAATATGAGATAAAAATTGAACTAGTTTCCAACACAGAGAGGTCACGTCAATTATTGATGAAGAACTACATGTATGGTTTGGTCAGAAATTGAGTGAGTCTACTCGTTGTGTTGGAAACTATTCCAAAATATTACGTCGTGTGTTAACGTCGTGGTGTTGCAAAAGTTAAGATTACCAAGAGGCTTACGAAATCACTGTTAAAGTGTTATGGCAAACATGCACAGGCACAATAGCATGTCTTGTATAGGGTGTTGTTTGGGACATACATTTTTGGCATTCATGTTTACCACAGTCTCATGTTCCTAAGGGTGGATGTAAAGACGGCTGTCATTGGTCGCTATTCGGATTTGACATTCTCAGTTGGTTTCTGAGACCAATCAAAGCTCAGGTTCTAACCCATCCCAGAACAGTGCGGATGGGTCCGTTAGACACCCGGAGGTTGAATGAACCCTGTGGTTGCATGCGAGACATTCTATATGTTAACCTGTGCCTGTTTGTCCATGCCTAGTCGCCCCCAGTAGCCCCCCATTTCTTCAGGGGTGGCACTTTGAGGACGAGGGAGGCATAAAGCAGTACAGTAAGTTGGGTATTACTTATATTACATGGAAAGTTGACAAATTTCTGGCATTCAAATCTCAAACATAAGTAAAAAAAAAGGTTTACCACCTCAAGAAGACTCAAAGTGAATGTGGTAAGTTCTCACAAGGCAGTTCACAAGGAACTTGTTACTCAGGCAACTGGAAAGATTTGCACTCTTTCAAAATCTTTCCAGTTGCTTGAGTAACAGTTTCCTTGTGTATCTCACTACCTGGATGTCTAAATAAATCTTCATCCACGTTTCAAGAAGGTTGAAGCAAATGATGGGTAGCTGAACCCCTCTGCAAAAAAAAGCGGGAAAACTGTATAGTATTATAGTGTCTTGAGTTTCATTCCGGGGGTTAATTGTATAACATATACTCTGAGAGAAAGAATTGCTTGCTATAGATAAGCTCTTGCAAGTTGAATGCAAAAGCCCCACAAGAAATACACTTCTTGCAAAAAAAAACCTGCAGTTTGCAGATAAAAACTGAGGTAAGGTAATATAGAAATATGCTACAGTTAAAAAACTGAATGCTGTATCGCAAATTTGCTTAGTGACAACTACAGTAAGCTTGTAACTTAATTTATATTACATTAACAGCAACTTCTTGACCTGTCTTTATATTGATTTTCTTCTTGATACACTTAACTGATTTAAACGTGTGATTTATACATTGAACCTGAGGAGTATCTTGCATATTGAAAGGCTTCCAAGTTTCAACTATTTCTGTGAAATATAGGCTTGGAAAAGAAAGACACCATTTTGAAGAGGCAATACCAGCAAAAGTTGTAATAATGATTTATTTTCAGGCATACATGCATTTGGACTTCAAGACAAATTTAGTCTTTTGACTGAATCAAAAGATAAGACATATACATAGTACAGGCCTGATAGCTTTCCTTCCACCCATAGCACATAATCTCCATACTCCATGGCCCATCACTTTAGCAAATCTTTACGACCTTGGAAGTACGGCTCCAGAATCTGTCCTTCCTTACTTTGAATTCTGTGTGTGTAACGCAGCAAACTCCTATGGGAGACCCTTAGGGGAGATTAAATTTATCATTTTGTGTAAGTAGTGAAGTACACTTATATTTAAGTAATCCTTGTCAGTGTAGATTATTATTTTGATCTACATGATTATGTATATCAAAGTCATTTCACCATGGTTACAACTTGCATATGAATGTTTTTTCTACATGTTGGTCTTATTCCTTATTGAACAGATACAATATGCTTCCATGTACTAGTAATAGTTTAACAGATGATATTCTCCTTGCTTGTTGAAATGGTACTCTTTATACATGTACATTTAGATCTAGAGATCAGAGCATGTAATTTTTTTTGTCACATGAAAAATTATAAATCACCATTGCATTGGAAGTCATTATATTCTGGCAGAAATATGGTAAACGCAATTGCATACTACATGTATTGTTAGGACACAGATGTAATTGCTATAGATTAATAAAGCCTAATTTTAGAGATTTGGGGAAGGACAAGCTACGTGCACGTAATTAGGAGAGATATCTAATTTGTCCAAATGTTTCCCCAGATTGCCGTGATTTGTACCCTTCCTGCCGGGCTAACACAGAAGTGGTGGCAAAGATAGATGGACATCATTCCCCTTGTCCATGTAGTAATAGCCATAACACAGAATGATAGAAAGGGGGGATCAGCATAATGGTCTTTTGTTGAAAATAATGGAGCAGCAGGAACAAATACATGCACTGCAGCACCAATATATGGGGACTTGAATGACGCAAGTTCATAACACGGCTTCCAGACTTGTTTTTTTTATTATTTTCAAGTGCAAAATTGCAGGTCTCTAATATTGTTCACCAGCAAATTAGGTTTTACATACACATTGGCAGGTTGCGGTTCCATGTTTGTATTTTGTGCTGTGGCATGGGGAGCTAATTTTTAATGTCATTGTGTACCTTTAAACTGATGTCCGTTATACGGTACTTTAGGGAGTAGAAAGTGGCCTTCCTGGTAGGGCACGGACTCATTGAGATTCAAACTAGAAACATGCTGTTCCTCCAACATCATCAGTTACCATGATGTATCTTCTTTGTACTCTGGAATCCTATGTGTATTTTTACAGTCCTGTTTTTTTTTAAAATTCAAGAGGCTACTCTTTAATTTAAATTATGGTACTCCTATAATTAAAAAAAATGGGAGTACCATATTCTCAATCTGTAGTTTAAATTTTGTTGTACATGTACCTTTTCTTTATGTTTTTCTGATTTTGATTGTACTTGTAGAGTCAATTCCGCGTCACCGAGTGGGTTGTTATTGTCATTATTTAGAAATGTTTTGAATTCTTTGTAATTGTTTGTCTAAGAAATTTCATTATTTGGAAATATTTTGAACATCTTGTCAATATTCTAAATAATTCCCTGGTTTTCTAAAACGTTTGAAATATTCCTGATGTGGAATATGACATTTCCAATAGTTTCTAAATATTTCTAACAGCACTCTACCATTTTTTACCATTATTTCGAATTATTTCTAACATTTTGTAAATAGGTCAGTGGGATGGGAAGGAAGTAATTCACACATCCCTGTGAAGTACAGGGTAGACTGCCTGGGTGTCAGGCATTGATGCCTTACAACAAAAGAGCCACCAGTGTCCAACAGTGAAATCTAAAAATATACGGAAGAATACAGAAGAGTAGGATTAGCACCTACTTTTATGGGGGCAATTACCCACATCTACTATTTTTCATTTGTTTGAAATAGTTCTAAATATTTCGAATAGTGAAAGAAACAAATGGGTAGTTCAAATTTATTCTAAATAAAGAGATCTTTGTACAGTCACTTTCAAAATGTTTCAGAAATATATAAATGAATTCAAATATATTCAAATTTTCATTTTCAAATTTTTGAAAAATTTAGAACTTTTGTTACTAGGGTATTCTTTTCTTCTAAATAATTCAAACGTATTAGAAACATGGAGAAAAAACCCACTCGGTGACGCGGAATCGACTCTATTACAAAGATTTGTTGTTTTTATTTACAGAAGTTCCACATTTCCAAGTGGTTTTTCTTTTTTTTAAAGGGCCTTATTTTAGTGCTTTCCAACCTCTCTTTAGATATTACAAACATTGAATCCAATGTGTTTTTAAAACGTCTGGTAGTGAACCTTGTTTGAAACATAGAAATTTCTTGTTACCAGTATAGACGTAAGTGAATGAATATTCTCCATGAGCATCTAATAGTATTCGAAAATGTGAAGAAGACAGAATTTTGTGTTTTTTGCTGGGTGTTTTTAAGTGGCAGGCCGTGGCGGCCCCCGGGGAATGAATCAATCTGTGCTGTATGCATGTTGCATGAGGCTCCCTGGTAGATATTGACCATTGCCACCAGCAGATGGGACTAGAATACTAATGAGGCAGCTTCAAGTCTGTTCTCTGCTTCGCGGCAACGTTGAGCAGAGGCCTTTGTCTACTGTAAATCGTGAAACTTCCGTGGCAGTTTTATTTTTACGATTTTTGCGGTGACCTGTCCACTATGAATTATAATGACACTGCAGATATGCTTTCCTTATATGACTTCTACAGAATTGTTAAAATTTGATAATATGAAATACCATGAAAACTTCTCTTTCTCTCCTACCATGAAATGAAACCACCATTGTGACAGTTTCACAATTCACAGTACATGTATGTCCTGTATATTTTTAAACATTAAGTAATCTTTGTGTACATTGATAGTTTTCGTATTCCTTGTAAAATGTAAAATGCTTGGAGGGTCCTGGGATGTTACTATATAGATGCATCTTCCAGTTGGGATAGACTTACATCATAAGTTACATGTTATGGCACAGAATTTTTGTTTGGTTATGGGGTTAGTATGTAGCTGAAAGATGGTTGAATAGAGGCGATTTTGATTTCTAGCTTAGGCACCACACTACGTCTTCCTCTAGCAACCAGAAAATGAAGTGCCTTGCAACAGAACCAACCAGGAAATCTATCCGTTGCTACTTGTGGAGGATCAGTGGGTGCTTTGTTGCTCAATTTGCACTGATTTCAGCAGGTAGAACAGAAGCAAAAGTTGTACACAGGATGCATCAGCCCTCCGGGCTACAGCATGTATAGGGAACAGTGGGTTTTACAAATGTAGAACAAAAAAGGAAAATGCAAGCAGCAATGGCATAAGATATCTGTGTATCCATGCTACTCTCTTACTGTCAGTCAGTCAGTCTCAAAAGGCTATGACAAAACAGGATGGTACAGTATCCTTGAACAGGATTATGATTACAAAATGAATCTCAGATTTTTCATTTCATTTTTGTGTTCTGCAGCAATCGGTAGGACGCTGATCCCGCGGTACTTCAGAACGATATTTGAGGGGGGCGTGACGGACCTGTACTTCACCCTGAAGCACCCCAAAGAGTCTTTCCACAACACCTTCATCACCCTGGACTGTGAGAACACCACCATGACCACTCATCATGGCAAACCCACCTTTACAAAGGTACAATTATAATGCACACTGATCAACCAATGAGAGAATTGCAATTAGCAGTTCAGCCAATGAGGGACTTGCTGTATGCCTGCGTATTATTGGCATTTTATGTTTCATTTTGACAATTTGACTATTGGGTTGTTGGATCAGTCTATGCTTTTAGGGAAGTATGGTAATACCACAACAGTGTCATAATGTCATTGAATCAGATACCACATTAAACATAGTGAAATAAAGACTAAACTATAGATGGTGAAATTGTGAAATAAAGATTAAACATTGGTCCTTAGAAAAGCATCTTGTTGATACCATATTGGCACAGGTTTTAAGATTAAACACATTGATGTATTATATTATTGGTGTTAATACCATGTCTCACCTGTTGTCTCACCTGGCCTGTTACCTGTACAGGTGTGTACAGATGGGAGGCTGATGCTGGAGTTCACCTACGATGACCTGATGAGAATTAAGAACTGGCACTTCGCCATCAGACAGCACACAGAGATGATCCCTCGCAGTGTTATAGCCATGCACGTCAGTACCGGCCTTCTGTTCTACAGTTTTACTATCTTACACACCCAAGTCATTTATAAGTAGCCTGCCAATATTGATGTCTGATATGTACAGATATACAGTATAACAAATGAGGAATTACTCAGAATATAGTAGAGGGAATTCATCCCTCAAGCTAACCGACATTTCGCACACACAGTCAAAGACATATGGAGCTGCATAGTTCCCGTAATAGTTCCTCAAGTGAATGAGGAATTACCTGTTTTAGGAAAATTGATCATTGGTTTTGAATGCTAGTATAAGAGCTCTGTTCCCTCTGTAGGACCCTGCCATGTTGGAACAGCTGTCCAAGAACATCACACGACAAGGTCTCACCAGCTTCACACTCAACTATCTCAGGGTAAGTCTCCAGTACATCCACAAATATGAATGAAGGAATAATGTGATTGATGATCTTTATTGTACATCCCGGGACATATATTTGGTACATAATGATTCAACTTTATCAAAGGCAAGTTCTGGCACATGTATTTTACTCTTTTCAGTATTCGAATAAACTTAAGCTGCTGTTGTGAAATGCGGACTCGTTTCTAAGCCTTCAGAATGAAAGAATGGCCCAAATGTGTAGGTAATATATTCTGAGATGTTGCCGATGTCAATAAGATGACGTTCTCACAATGCAAGTGGTGTTTTTCTCCATGTCTTCACAGTCAAAGAAAGACTGTACAGGTACATTGTAGCTTGCACAATGGAAGGATATATTACAAAGATGACTACATTACAGTGGCCCTCGTGTAATCCTCACGGTTACTGTTTACTGTCGCTACAAGTTATCCTGAAAGTTTTTGGGTTTGTTCTCAGCTGTGTGTGATCCTGGAGCCCATGCAGGAGCTGATGTCGCGGCACAAGGCGTACGGTCTGAACCCCCGCGACTGTCTGAAGACAACCCTGTTCCAGAAGTGGCAGCGCATGGTCGCACCTCCAGGTAAGGCTCTCCACTAAATCTTACTGTAAGGGTCTGTACCTGCTAGATGGATTTATTCTGTATTTCAGGTGCAAAAGCCCATATCATTATATATTAAAAACAAGTAAACAAACATACAGAACTAAATACATCAATCCATGTACATACAATGGAATAAAATACAGTGGTTGATAGATTCATGCCGACTGCTTATACACCAGACTATTGTAGTCCTGCCAGTAATATCTGAGTGAGAATATATCAGAATGGATTACAAGTTCTATGAAAGAAAAGGTACAGCAAAAATTGCTGATGCTGTATAAGGTTCTGTACGTTCAGTACTGCAGGGTCCAATGGTTCTTGGTACCTGATTCTGCCACCTTTTGATGTAAATGGCCTCTCTACTCCACAGCAAACACAGAACGTCCTCCCAGCAAGCGGAGAAAGCGGAAGGCTTCCCAGAGCGGCCAGGGCGGCGGCAACAGCAGTAATAACCAGTCAGGGGGAGGGGGATCCAAGAAGAAGTTCCCTACAGCAGGGGTAGGTCCTTCATAGTTCTGCAGTTTCATATCTCCTTTCTTCAGTGTAGGATTAAGGCAAAGTCAGCCAATGGAGAAGAATAAAACCCTGCTGCCCAACCTTGTTACCAAAAGAGAGTTCATAGCCAAACAGCTACTTCAGTGTGCTAAAGAGAGGTTAAAGGAAGTTAAAAATCTGTTGCTTGCCAGGTAATTCCAGCACTAGCTGTAGTAGTGCAATGTTATGTCAAGGAATACTTCTGTGGGGATGTCATACCCTAGTAGTACACAAACCTGTCTGATTTGGATTGATAAACCTTACAAGTAAGAGCCTGAAGTGCAAGAAATATCAAACAAGAACGTCTACAAATTACTGGCTCTTAGACTGCAGCACAAGTCTGGGAATGTATAGTGATTTACTTCTTAAAGGCAAGGTTGGATGATAGGTTGATTAGTTCAGTACCTGGGTATCTCTACCTTATGCTCATGTTCCTGTGAAGCAAACGCAGAATAGATGTCCACATTTTCTGGCAAACTGTGGAAATCTACAGACTTTTATGTGCTCTACTATAAAGTAACACAACAGAATGATATTAAAACTCACTACAATATAGAATATCAAATTGATGGCAAGTGTTGGTAAGTACATTTGTACATGTAATGAGACTTATTTAACACATGGATGTAAACATATTTCATCTGTGTCGTTTTCTCATTATCTCATCGTCATTCTGCTGTTATCTGTCCATCATGACAATATACCTGTCTGCAATTTACACGTCAGTCACCAGGTGTCTCTTCTGTACTATAACTGATCCCTTCAAGAGCCCACAATATCATGGGACTTTGTGAGAGATTTGCCACAGCCAGACAGCCTTAACCATTCGAGCTGTTGATGTAAATAGCAGCAGGACTTGGATGAAAATTTGTCCCAAGGGATTGGGTCAGTGAAACAGTGGAGATTAGAAAATTTCTTTGCATGGAATCATTATTTTGTAGCAATTTTTTAACATTGTGTTTTTTGTATGAGATCCACCCATTTTACCCATTTTTTTTTACGTGTCATCTAAATAAAATATTGATCGATTGAAAAATCAAATGAGAGTCCTGGACACAGAAATACGTGTATGCATTCAATCATACATAGCTCTTAAAATTGAAGTACAGTAATGAGATTTTTTGGTCCCACTTACATTTTGTTCCCACTAGCTTTTGGGTAGTGCTGATGTGTGTTATTCATGATTGTGTTTCTATTTCATTGTAGCGCAAGCGATCTGCAGAAAGCGACCTGGTCCTTCCTTTGGACGAGGTACGCATGCAAATTCACTCTTGATGTATCTTCTTTTCTCGTAACACTCCTTTTTAACACATTTATTTTCTTGAATTCTCCTAAACTTCGTAGTCTTGTCCCATGCCATCGTCAAGTGTGTGTAAGTAAGACTCACTTCACTTCACTCTCAATTAACAATACAGTTGCTGTCCTTTCTCTCATTTTCTCACTGTTGTTATTGGTATAAATGTTACCACTGACCGTGACCCAATCCCTGTCAATAAAGTAACGTTGTCTCCTTGTTCCACACAACTCAACGTGTCATTGTAGAAATTTTTGTGAAAATTTCAAATACACCTAGAGTCCGTCTGGTTTTTTGTTGTTGTTTTTTTCGGAGCCATTGCTGAATCTTGTCGCTCGATAGGAGGCTGAAATAGGCAGGTTTTTGAAAACTTTTCAAACAAAATTAGATATTTCTTGATTGAGGTTAATCCAAAGCTTGGCTGTTCCCCGATGTTCAAACCTAAATATTAAACTCGTCTTTGGAACAAGAAACCACCGCCTTACGATATCTGATTGTTCAAAGTAAAGACAGGGTAGCTATTGGCTAATTTTGAAGTGACTGACAAGCCTATCTGTTTGTTCTTCAGTTTGGCGAGTCACATGATCTCTGATCACCCAATCAGAATTCACCATAGCTGCCAACTTTAGGGTAGGAATCTTTTTTCTACTTTGGCAACAAACTTTAATCCTTCCCACAATGCACCATACGACATTTAAGAGAGAAAAAGGCAGCTTGTCACATTTCAAAGCAAACGGTGGGCATGGCTTCACTCGGTGATGTTTTGCTTGATCATCTAAAGATGCTTTATAGATCGTATTTTCACAGTGTCTGTGAAATACTTGATCAGGCTTTTAACAACAAAACAAAATTGGAGAGTTTTCACCTCAAAACAGGAAATTTTAAAAGCTCTATTTCTTCTGCTGTCTACTGCATGCTGTCTCCATTGAGTCCTTTCTTTGGTGAATACAATTTTTTAGTGGTTCATTTTTGGGTTGGGCATTACCAGTATTCAATGAATATTTTTTTTGGTCAAAATACTAGTATTCCCCCCATGTACTTGTACAGCAACAATGTCATGTTTGCAAATTAGATCTTGTAAATTACATGTATTTCTCTTGTGGGACTTTGTTGATAATTTCTCCTCAGTGATCAGTGAGCACATGTGAGGATTTTGAGCCCTTGAGGGTTTCACCTGTATCAGACAATGAGAATCATTTAAAACCAAAAGTCCACCACCCAACATCACATTCTCATAAACTACACTGTAATCCTCTCTTGATTGCTTTAATACATGCAAGAACAATAGGTATGCCTGCATCTACAGTTTGGGATTGTACTCTAAGTCTAATCTCGAAAATTAGAAAAAAGAATGCAGGGCTGTATAGTCAGGTGAAACAGGTAACTTTTTCCCGTATATTATTACAAGTACCAGAAAACACTGTTAGGGTTTATATATTCTGGTTTCATCCATGTACACTACACCCCACAATTTCTCTAGCATCTATCTAGAAGTAGAACAGTAGGTAAGTAGGAATAAGATTGATACAAGGTAAATATCTCCAACTCGTAGTTTTCAGCAAGCCTCTGTCAGAGTCAGTTCCACAGTCCCATTCTAACTAAAACATTACTACTAGTAATCAGACACTTGTTGATGTGGAATACCAGAGCTAGCAAATAGTGAAGAAAACAAATATTCACAACTGTTTATTTCTATTTTTTGGTGCAGGATAGCAGGAATATCCCAGCCGCCAATGTTTTCAACGCATATTTACTAGAAACAGCACAAAGGTTTTGGCAGAATCTTTCACAGCAAGTTAATGAAAGTGTTGGTTCAGAAAATGGTGGTTTGTTTTGTCCTAGGAAAGTTTAACTGTTGTTGAATTGTGCAGACCGGCAAGATGTACTAAAATACTGACTTACATGTACTGTTGGAACTTCAGTGCATATACTATGTTATCAGCATCCATCAGATTGGTGTACTAGATGTATTAAAACGCACTCCCCCACCCCTGCTCTGAGATGTGCTAAAATACTGACTTACATGAACTAGTTGAACCTTTTATATGTATGTTATCAGTATCCATCCTACCAGTGTACTTTATGAGTGTATTGAAATACACAATCTTGTCACTCGATAGCAGGCTGAAATATGCAGGTTTTGAAAACTTTTACAACAGAATTAGATGTTTCTTGATTGAGGTTAATTCAAAGCTTAGCTAAGACTGTTCCCCGATGTTCAAACCTAAATCTTACGATATCTGATTGTTGGAAGTAAAGTCAGTTTAGCTATACTGGCTAATTTTGAAGTGTTGTAACAATGTTGTGACACCCTCCCCACCCTGCCCTGTTCTGCAGGACGTGATGGTAGTGGGAGAGCCTTCTCTGATGGGGGGAGAGTTCGGGGACGAGGACGAGCGGCTCATCACCAGGCTGGAGAACACGCAGTTCGACGCGGCAAACGGGATCGACGGGACGACGAGTTCGGCGGCTCCCCCGCGGTCAACAACAGCTCGTGGGGGAACCCACCGACGTCCAACCAGGGCAAGGATCCCAGCCAGAGCCACCAGGAGGACCCCGCCCACCAGCCAGCCCACCAGGACTAGTCCACTGTACAGTAGGGGTGGCTCAATAGGTGGGAGGGATTCTCTCATCCTTTGTCCTAACCGTCTTGGAACGACAATTTAAAGTTGGCTCTGACCCTCCCCATTTGAAATGGTGCACACTCTGACCGTCTCGTCCTTAACCAATGTCTTGTATTGTGGCAAAGGAGCACCTTTGAGGGAAAGTAGCTGGGTTGTTCTTCCAAGACTGTTATATTTTCTCCTCCTCCCTTGTACATTGAAACCTCCCCTCTATCAGCAAATGTTGTTAGGGGTTCTCCCAGTCTATCGTCATGGAGACCATCAGTATGGTCATGTAGGATAGATCACCATAGGTTTCCATGGTAACTCACCATGGAGACCATCACTATGGTAACATAGGGTAGGGTGTTATGTGCATTCCAGATGACTATCACTAAACAGCAAGAACAGGATATCTGACTTGAATCATTGTTTCTTTTCTTGAACAGTACAATCATACTTCAGTGGTCATTTTGATAACAACTCTTTTGAAATGAAAATGTGGTGTACGTTTGCCTCCTCATTTTCAGTTTTGTTTATTTGAGAAGCAGTTCCACCTTGAGTGTTTGTCCATATAGATTTAAGCTTACCAAATATATGGATGATAATTTCAATATATTTATAAGTATATCATTTTATTAATCAGTAGCTAAGCTTTTGAATATGTGTTTTTATTGTCAATATACATGAAAGTAAAGGTATGTGGCATATTTACTTTTATGCAATTTCTTGTTGAGGTTTCTGTGGAAATGTACGATGTAAAATGCAGCGACAGGACCATTTGAATCACAAATCTAGCTAGTTTCTTAAGTGACATACAATGTATATGTTATCCAACCAGACAAGTGTCATCTGTAGTACACTGTACAGCACAGGACACTGTACAGCACAGGACAGTACATGTGCTTGATACAGGTCTCAACCCCATTCAACCTGTAAAAATGAACTGAAAATAAGTTCACCTAGAGTTATAGCATAATGTTTTATTATTTGTTGTCTCATTGTTAACCACTGATAACCATCAACATGCTAAGTAAGTGCAACTCTACATGTATAATTTTTCATCCAACATGCTAAGGTTAAGTATAACCAGTTTAGTCTATGCTCAAGGTCAGAGATTTAACCAAAAGGTCATTCAGTGCAAACAGACTGTATGTTACAGCAAGGTCAGAGGTCAAACAATGTGTGCATTTTACTATTGTTTATCAGTTCTGTACCATTCCATTGCCTTGTACAGGGTATTTTATTAGGTATGTTTGAGAGTGCTTTATAGATTAGTCATTATTTAAACATTAGCATGATGATAGTGCATTATATACTCCTTATATCGTAAGAAGTTTTGTGTATGTACAAAAAATGACATATCAGGACCCAGTATTGTGTTATTTAGGTTTCCTGTATTCCTGTCTTGTGTTTACACAAAGGAAGATCAAGGATGTCATAGGTTCACTACATGACCAGTCCTCATTAGAACTTTGGTTTGGGGGGGGGAGGGGGGAAAGAGCGCTCACGCCACCATGCACCAAGATTCTGCAAGGCCCCTCTCTTGTTGCCCCATCCCCTTAATCAGTATGTGTACAGATGCTAGTAAACAACATGTTTATCTAAAGATACTAGTAGTGTCTGTTTTTATGGATTGGTTACAAACAATCTTTGCCATCTGCCTGTTACAATGTACATTTAGTACATGGTTATACAAGAACATCATTCAGTCCACGGGGGCAGAAGTAAGGTTGTTAGGGATTATGTTCCAAATTTGACAATAGTTGTCTTAATAGTTATATTACATGGCAGTGCCAAACAACTCGCATATATCATGTGTATGAAGCTTGGTCCTGGACATTTTATATTAGCTAAAGGCAAAATTTGACAAGTTGTCACCAGCCTGGAACTGGATGTGATGCTGATCATTTGTAAAGACTTGCCAACATTAATTAGTATTACAGTTCATTTCATATTCAACCGTGCAACAGACATACATGTAAACACATGCTATTACGAGTTTTTGCAGAAATGGCACTGGGGTGAGTATTAACAAAATACTCAATCACGGAATTTTTTCAGTCTTGGTGGAGTTTGTTAGCTTTATGTATCCCTACAAACTTGAATTTTGTAACAGCTTTGTAAACTTAAAGACTGGAGGTCAATAGCAGCATTCTAACAATTGCTACCAACTGTCTGCCTAAAACCTGCTGTTGCAAGAAAACTAGTCAACCTATCAGATTAATTTCTGAGAAGTTATAAACCAACCAATGTGATTGATTCTGATCAGCTTGATACTCCCAATTCCACAGCCCCTCCAAAACTTAGAAATTCAAAACAAAAGCTCAGAAATGCAAACGTGATGCTGCCACACTCTTATTGGTTAAGCTCATTTTGATTGGTCTTTTTGCACTTTTCAAACATTTAGTTTTGTCACTCATGGCTTATTTTCATGGAACAGCTATTCTGTAATTGTATGTTTTGGCCAACTTATTAGGGAGAAGTAGACCATTAAAGGATCAATGTACTTGTGCATTGATGTTAATGTTTTCACCAAGACTGTTTCAAACTGTGAAACCAAAATGTAAATAGAAGCATGTTGCCATGGCAACCATACTGAGATGCCATTCAGTAGGGTGACTTCACATGAGGGAACGGCCCCCAGGGTGGTTGGTTGGTTGAACACAGAAGAGTCAGACCTGTAGGTTTGCAGGTGCTTAGTTCATGATTAAGGTGTGTACATTACAAATTTATTTGCCAACTTCCACGGTTTAACCAACCATCCATCCAACATGGCCGGGCAGTACTTGTGTCGTAGTCACCCTACACCCTTGTACAGTATCAGTGGCGGGGTTGACTGCAAAGATTCATAACGTGGGTGCCAAAACTGAAGTTAGGATTGATGAACGATTAAAACATGAATTAGATAAAAAGACCAGTTAACAAATACCATCACTGACTTGAAAAGGAATTAATTTTGTGCAGTATCTGGCATGATTAAATTTTTAAGTCAAGCTAATTGTTAATGCACATAAAGTCGAAGTCTAGATTTTAGAATGTTTTTTGCCTTCACCTTATGAATACCTTTGCGGTCTTCCCCAAATGTAAACATATGTATGTTGTAGGCTTGTCCATAGCTAGACTAGGAGCCGTCACTGAGGTCAACGTTTGGGTCTCTGATTGTTGAAAAACAAAAAAGGATACCCACAGTCTGAAAGTTTAAAATATTGTTAAGGAAGGAAAAAATGTAATATTCTGACGCTGTTAAGAGACAAACTTGGTAAAGGTACTCATGTCTAAAATTATTGTTATAACCTGAAATATCGTAACTAAAGGAAATTTGTAGGAGAGATGTTGGGTTGCACCTTCCTTTCAATGCCAAGTGTTTGGTCACAGTTTGGAGAAATCAGCAAAATATATGACGTACAAAAACATGCTACAAGTATGTCCACTCTTTAGTATCATTGCAACAAGACTGAAGACTTTGACCTGCCAGTGGGGTTCATGATACAAGTAGTTTTGTACGGTTGGACTTTGTATATGTGAATATGTATTTTGTGGTTGAATGACCAGTATTTTCTCTATTTGGCCATACTGGCCTTTTTTTGCTTCATGAAAAAACATCCAATAAAAAGCATGATTCCAAATTTCTGTTTTACAAGAGTGTGGGATTCATGCAGTTTGTCATTTGTAATATTAAAGTTAGGCCACAGCAAGTAAATTTTATGGATGACATCCTCTGTAGACGTATAATCAAATGTGAGATCGTGAATAAAAAGGTGGGCAAAAACACACAGGATGCCTAAATTTCAAACCAGACATCATAAACGGAACAAGAATTTAAACCACAAAGCATGTTATCACAGCCAACAAGTATTTTATTCCTGTATTCATGAAGTGAAAGAAATCATACTATGTACTAAGCTATTACCCTAGTGTCTCTTCACCTACCATTAAGACATCCCCGAAAGGGAGCAAAATTTCTTGGCTTTTCTAGATCTTTCTTCTAATGCAAAGAAGTATGATACGTCATCGAACGACATGGTGCAATTAGTCTTATTATATTGTGCCGGTTGACAAACAAGCCACCAAATTGGTTCACAATCGGTCCTTACGATCTATTCAAACGACATCAAATACATAATTACGTTCTTCTATCATCAATTACAACACACGTGTAAGTACCACCACTAAGCAGACGTCACACTGTTGTAAACAACCTTCGCCCTAGTTTCACGATCACCAGAACATCGCCCAAGTTTGATATCATCCCTATAGAGTCGTCTGAAAATCAACCAATATTAGCCTGGACAGCTTTCGCTGACCTGCGGACATCGTGCAGTGTAGAGAATATCGACCATATTACTGCCGAAAATCTTTAGGACTCTCAGGCTCGTGGAGCTATATTTTCCAGCTGTGTGACGTCAGCTTATGGAGGCGAGAACAACTATAACATATAAAACGTTTGTAATAATACAATTTCCTGTCAATTACAGCAAGTTACTGCACAAGACTGAGTTGAAACTCCTACATTGTAACTGACCTCATTTTTGAACGCAGGTCTTGTCACATCTATCAAAGGCTAAATGTGAACCACGTTAAGAAAGAACAATTTTCTATCATTACAGCGCCACTACGATACATAAGATCATTGAGAGCTTAGTGCGCATACCTCGATATCGATTTGAGAAATATACAGTTACGTATCGTTTCACCACAAACGAGTAGCACTGGAGTATACAAACAAATCGTGGACATGTATCTTTAAAATTCACCGTCCATCCCTAGTCTGCCTATCAGTGTTCTCTGTCCAGATATTTCAACGTTCTAGATATCGGTAATGCGTTACCTTTTCGACCGGCGCAGCCTAAACTTTGTCCCATATCCAATATATTTTTTCAATATCTTTCTTCAAACAAGTCATTTCTTTTCAATTTAGTTCACAATATCTATGAACACGGAAGAATTACTTCATTAAGTTCTCCATCTGTATAAAGTACCATCATTGTGAGCACAAGAATATTTCAATACAACTGAATGGACCATGACATCATCATTAAAACGACAACCTAATAAAATACAAAAGCCACTGGACACGACGGGAAGAGTATAGGATGCATGGAATACGAGCTGTCTATCATAGAGAATTTTACTCAACATAATGAATCCAAAGCAAAATATAACACATAGGCAAACCTCCAAAATTGGATTTGGAAAACATACCTTGATGTTTTGACAGACATTCGGCAGCGCTTCAACACAAAACTCTGGTACTGGAATATAACTTGTTATGAACAAAGACTGAACATAGACCATTAAATGAAAATTGACCGTGTTTTAATTGCCTATCGCACATCAATGTTCTCTGCTACTGTCCACGTTTTTGAACGTCCTAGACCTTTGCGAATGGCATATTGTCACTTGCCTTACTTTCTTTGATCGTCTTTGTGATCCGTACGCTGTCTACTCCCTCTCAATTGATTTGTCCATGGTGCTGAAGGTGTATTTGTCGTTGTTCTCGCCCGACACTGAATGGAATCAGCCTTTTTTTGGCGACGTTCTGGGTCTCTCTTCTAAGATGCGCCGTACTGTCATGCTATTACTTTTTGTATTGCCGTGAGCGCCATCCAGTTTTTATTTTATCGCTGCCTTTCCTGCTATTGTTTCTATTGTTCTTACTTCTGGTGTTGTCGGAGTTGTTTGAAAATCTTCTCTTGTGGTCACTTGTCTACATCACTGGTCACTGCGGGAATGTATTGTGACAGACGCGATATTCCCCGTTCTGATTCAAGGCAAACCGGCGTTTCCACTGGTGTTCACGAAGAGCCGCACAACACCGCGACGAACCTCCGACAGACGAAATCCGTAGATGACGGGGTTGATGGCCGAGTTCAGAATGATGAAGACCATCATTGGAGCATGAGAAACGTCATCTTCAGTGAGAAGCGCCATGCTAACAAAGAATGGCAGCCATCCCACCAGGAATACGACTGTGATGATGATGACAGTGATGGCAGATTTTCGATTGATACTGGGCTGAGAACCGAGCGCGGCTTCTTGGGCAGCGATGGCGTTCATGTGCTTCCACACGCACCAGAACACCCCCGCGTTGAGAAGGATGATTGCCGCCATCGGGATGAAAATGAACACCAGAACAACAACCAAGTAGCTGTAGGGGAATCCCGGACGAAAGCACCCTTCCTCGTAAGTAACGCAGATCCAGCCGAAGTTGGGCGACATGGCCAGTAGCACAGACCACAGCCAACCGATCGCAATCACGACCTTGCACTTGTCGTAGGTGACGTTGTTGACGTAGGTCATCCCGTGTACGATGAACCAGTAGCGCTCGGCCGTCAGGGCCAGCAGTCCGTAGGCGGAGGACAGGCCGGAGAGAAGGAGCGACGTGAAGCGGAGAAGAGACATGGCGTCAGAGAGGATGGTCTCGCTGTATATTTCAAATAAAACTAAACCCTATCCCCAAAGATGAAAAGCTACACCAGTAAAGACGTCGCTTTGCCGCCAGATTAGCCATGAGGATGTAGGCGGGCGTGTGGAGCTGTTCGTGCTTGATGATGGCTGCCAGGGGCAGGCTGTTTGTCACGACAGTATAGACTCCTAGACATACAGTTAAGTACAACGGTGCGGCAGAGGCTCGCCTTTCCGCTAAAGAGGGGTCAGGACAAACCTCAACCTGAACGGCGTGTAAAGTGGCGTTTTGTACCTCAGAGCTGTTGATAGCCGAGAGGGTGTCACAGATCTCAGTCGATCCATTCCGCAGTGTTGAGTTGTGGAGACTGTCCGTTTTGTCGCTGGCCTGCGTAGTAGCATGCACCTCTTCCCCGACAACCTGGGTTATCCCAGCGTAGCGAACGTTAAGTATAGCGATGAGGATTACCAGGTTCGCCATTACGTAGTTATCTTTGTAATACATCATTCAGCTGTGCTAGCAATGGTCTCTTTGACGGTGAAGACACGGAGGGAAACACTGCTTGCGTCGTGAGATCGGTAACTAAATCACCTCAGCACCAGCCTAAATTTTGCTCTATATAGCAAACAAACATCTTAAAATATAATACCTTCACCTTTGGACCACTCTTCACTCTAAAGGCTAATAACAAGTCCCTTCATTTCTTTTCAATTTAAATCACAAGGCCTATATATATAGAGATACATGGAACAATTACATCATTACGCGCTTCAACGATAAGTACCAGCATTGTAGGTACGGAAATGTTTCAATACACACCACTACAGCCATGACAACGCCATAGGTTCTAGCAATACAGGAACCACTGAGGACTACAAGAAAAGAAAAAAAAAGAATTGCAATAGCTGATTATCACTTACGACTAGGGGGGGGGATGAATACATTACTACCGTTAACGTTTGCGAGCGTCACTAAGTACCATGCAAGAAACTAAAACACCTAAAACTAGTGTTGTAACTAAAGCCATTTAGGTTCAACCAGCCAACAGAGCTGATTTCTGCACATTCATGACTAACAATATTGCAACTAATGCGATCTAACTAGCTTCTGTCTTAAAGACCTATGGCCTTGTCTCTCAGTGGCTAATGTATCCGACGTTGCAAAGAACAATTTTTTTACCATTACAGTGACACAGTTGTACTGGAGTATATTAAACAAGGCATAAACATTTATACTATGAAACGAAAATTCACTGTCCGTCACTATGTAGGTGCCGAGACTGTCTTTCGCTGCTATCTGTCAATGTCCAGATTTTCTAACGCTCTAGATCTTTTCATGGTAGAGAAATGGATTACCTTTGCGATCTGCGTCTTGCCGTCCGTTGTCACTTCTCGCTTTCCCTGATTGTCTTGATGACCTGTGCTCTATCTTCCCCCTCCAATGGATTTGTCCATGGTGCTGAAATCGTATTTGTTGTTGTCACCCGGCACTGAATCACTCTTGGTCCCAGTTACTGAACTCTCTTCAAGATTTCATGACTTTGTTGTCCCGCTAGTGCTTTCTGTATTGAAGTGAGTGCCATCTAGTGTTCTTTGTATTCATTGATCACTGCCATTTGTGTTGTTTTCTTGTTCCTACTGATTGTGTTGTTATGGTTATTCGAGACGCCAGTAAGAGCCTAAATTTCTTAAAGTTTCTGCGTATCAATTATTTCTCGACTTGACCTGTGTGACACGACGGAGGTGTATTGACATTGTGAAAGGCACGGCTTCTCCTATTCAGTTGATAGCTTAACCGGCGTTTGGAAGTTTGTAGGAGAGATGTTGGGTTGCACCTTCCTTCCAATACCAAGTCTTTGGTGAAATCAGCAAAATATATGACGTACGAAAACATGATACAAGTATGTCCACTCTTTAGCATCATTGCAACAAGACTGAAGACTTTGACCTGCCAGTGGGGTTCATGATACAAGTAGTTTTGTACGGTTGGACTTTGTATATGTGAATATGTATTTTGTGGTTGAATGACCAGTATTTTCTCTATTTGGCCATACTGGCCTTTTTTTGCTTCATGAAAAAGCATCCAATAAAAAGGATGATTCCAAATTTCTGTTTTACAACAGTGTGGGATTCATGCAGTTTGTCATTTGTAGTAAGTTATGCCACAGCAAGTAAATTTAATGGATGACATCCTCTGTAGACGTATAATCTAATGTGACAT